AAGAGTGGGGCAGTTTGGGGGGGCAGCACATGAAGGAGGCACGGGTGTCGGCCTCGTGTCCAGGGGCCTCACAGGATGCAGGACTCTGGATTTGCTTCAAGCAGGATGAAAAGCTGCTGGAGGCTTCTGCGCAGGGCCCCCCCATGATCCATGATCCAGCATAAGTCCTCAAAGCATCACTCGGCTGCTGTGTGGAGAGGGACAAGCAAGAGACAGCAGAAAACCAGAGGATGACTACAAAGGTCCAAGAAGGAGCTGGCATAAACTTCACCTGTGGGAGGATGCGTGAACGAGGAAGAAGTGGTCGGTCCCTGGAGGAGCCACCAGGGCTTACTGATGGATGCGAGGCAAAGGGAGCCTCCGGGCTTCTGACCCCAGCAACCTGAGCAGCGGTGTGACCACTGAGATGGGGCAATGGGGGGAGGAGCAGGCTCAGGCTTTGACTATCAAGAGTTTGGTGGGGTGGGTATTCAAGTGGTAGCGGTGCATGTGAGGTCCTGGATACAATCCCCTCTAAAAATAAATAAACCTAATTACTCCCCCAAAAAAGAACTTAAAAAAAGTTCGGTATGCGACATACTGAATTAGAGATCTCCATCAGATCTCCAGAGATGCTGAGTAAACCGCTGACTGTTCTAAGACTAGAGAGCAACCGGGGAGAATGAAAGTGGACAGGAAACCTGGCGGACGTGACGTGTGGGGTCGGGGAGCGGGGAGGAAGCTCCAGCAAAGGAGACCGAGAAAATGAGGCCCCTGAGGAACCCGTGAAAACACAGAGCGTGTGGCGTCCCAGACACCGAAGAAGGGCTTCCGAAGGAGAGAGGTGGTCACGCGCTGTTGAGAAGTCCAACAAAACGAAGGCTGAGAACTGACTCCTGGATGCAGCCACATGGAAGTTTCTGGAACCTCGACAAGAGTAGTGCTGGGGGCGAGAGCCCGACTGGAGTGGTTTCAAGGGACAGCAGAAAACGGCGGGGGGACACAGCTGTTTCTCGTCTTCTCACGAAGCTAATCAGAGAAACTAGGCGGCAGCTGGAGGGAAATGTGGGGCAAGAGTGCTTCTAAATTGGAAGATGCTGTAGCCAGCAAGTAGGCTGGGGGGCGAGCACCGCGCACGGGGAGGGGCCGCGCGCGGGTCGGGGACCGCGAAGGCCCCGCCACCGGGAGG